TGTGTCTACCTTTCTCTTCAAAATGAATTCATGGAGTAACTCGAATGATAAATTTAATTTTTTTTCCTAAAATACTTTAAAGTATACAATTGAGAATACCTTAATGAGAAATTTTATAATCCTCAAGTAGTAATTAATAGCATGTATAGTAGTTACTTCATGGATCAACTTTGAGAAGAGAGATAAATATATAAAGAGAAAGAAAGAATTACATCCGGATCCACTCAAAGTGATAAGAAAATTTACCAGTTCGCTTAATTTTTTTAAAAAAATTTCTCTTTTTATTTCTCTCTTCTTTTTATGTGTCTATCTTTTTTCTCAAATTGTATTCATGGAGTAACTGAATGATAAATTTAAGTGTTTTTTTTTTTTCTAAAATCCTTATCCATTCAATAGTGTTTTCTTTTGAAAGAAAAATCAAAGAAAAAAAGTTAAAATTGGTGGGGCATCATCCCTTTTCAACCACCAAATTTAAATTTTATATTGGTTTGTATTGAGTAAAATTCTCATAAATCTCTCGTCTTTATATGAATTGAGAAAGCAGATTTAATTTTGATGCACAGAAAACTAACTTTAATAATATTAACATTATCATAATAAACTATCTAAAATTATGATTGTGATTTTTCCCCCTTAACTTCCTTGTTTCAAAAAGAGTAAATTATAAATTAGTTCCTTTCGTTTCAAAAAATAAATAAATAAATCTCTCTCATTTTTAAAAATAATTATTTAATCCTTACATTTTGAAATCTATTTATAATTTAGTTTTTTTTGTTCGTTTTTAATTTATTTTGATTTTTTAAGAAATAGAAAAAGAAAAAAATGAAATAATATGAAAAAATTAATGAGAAAATAATAGATTTTGTGAAATAAAAATAATATTAAATTAAATATAATTAATATTGATTAAATAATTAAATAATAATTTTTAAAATAAAAAAAATTATTTATTTATTTTTTACAACTAGAAGGACTAATTTATAATTTATTCGTTTCAAGAGCGAAACATGACTTTTATCAAGAAAAGAAAAGTCCCAATCTTGAGTTCAATTCAAAATCAACATATCACTGCAAAGCCACGTTACATAACGTGCGTGCAGATTAAGAAAAACGTAAAATATTCCCACCCAAAAAGTTTTTAATTACTAAACTATATATGCATATTTTTTTAATATCCCATTTTTAGTGATTAAGTTGACCGTACTATATCACGCCACTTCTTCAATGAATAGAATTTCTCAAAGTGAACCCATTTATGAAATTACCTTCATCGTCAAAGTATTCTAGAGTAAATTAGTCCCTATTGTTTGTAAAAATAAATAAATTAATCTCTTTTTTTAAAAATTAATAATTTTAAATTTTATATTTTAATTCTATCAATAATAATTTAGTTATTTCTTCAGTTTTCTATTAGGATGGTGGACAATGTGTCTTTATTATAATATATTTTTTAAAATTATTCTTTTTTTATGCATTATTTTTCTTTCACATAGTTTTTCTCTCTCTCTCCTTAAGTATCAAAATAAATTTTTATTTTTGGACTTTTTCTCTCTCCTTAAATACCAATATATATTAAAAGATATTTTCGATATTAGACGTTAATTTGATAAATTTGACAAAACAGATTAAATGATTAGTTTTCTTAAATTAAAAAAATTTATTTATTTATTTTTTAAAACAAGATGGATTAATTTATAATTTACTCAACGATTCTCATGCCCTCTTCAAAAAAAAAAAAAAAAAAAAAAAAAATTGGAAAGTCTAGAATTTTGCTTTTCCGTAGGTGATGGGTGGATTAATATACATCGTTAAGAGTTGGCGGCTCCTAAAAGCCAAAAAAAGGGCGTGATTTGCTGAAAAAAATGACCCCTAACGTCTTCAAGTACATTATGCTAATATAGAAAGTAGAATGTTTTGACTGGTAGCTAGATCATGCCTATCTCTTTCAGCCAAGGCATCAAACCTAACCGTCACTCTTTTCTCTTTTTTCTTTTTTTCATTATTTTGAATTGTTCTTTTCTGCAACTTGCACAAAGCATTTCACTTCGTCCTTCTGAATGGTTTCAGAAAAGCTCAAAAGTTGATCTATAGGTTGATATTGCTCGATGGTTAAATTAATTAAATAATTATACAAATTAAAAAAAAAACTCTAAAATATTTGAGGTATTTACTACTCACGATATTATTTATCTATACACAAAATAATATTCATTTACTGTTTACATAGACTCGAGTGCACTATACAATAATATTTTTGTGATTTTTAGGTTGTCTAGATTCATTTATATGTGGGTTTTTTTTTTTTTTTTTTTGATATTGCACTTTGATTTTTTGTAAAACAATTGTCTTCAAGTTCATTTATGCTGCAATTTGATCTTTAATTACAGAGAGAAAAAGCTACGATTGGCTCCAATTTTAGCATCTTTTGTGGGCGATCTTGCATTCATATTGTTTATCTTGATAAAAAGAATGTGTTCGTAGTAGTTTTAAGTCATAAAATAGTTAAAAGAGATAAATTAAAACCTAAAAAAAATTGAATTTTTCGATTATATATATATATATATGCATTGAAATTTTTTTAAAATTTTTTACCTTTTGATTTTTATTAATTTTTTTAAAAAACTTTACTATTAAATTGGGTACAAAAAATATAGGAAATCAATCATTATTTTTTTTTAGTTTTTCGAACAAGTCGACAAGTGATGAAAAATATACAATATGGTTTTTTAGAATTTAGAATGAACATATATATATATATATATATATATATATATATATATTATATGACTCTTATTATTTAAAATTCTCATGAAATTACTTTTTTTTTTTGTCATTTCTTATGAAAATTCTCATGAAATTAAATTTTTATTTTTTATATAATTTTATTTTTTAATAAATCTGATTTATTTTTCTCTATGTATATGTTTTTTTGAATAAATTTTATAATATCATTATTTTATTTTATTTTAAAAAATATTGATATAATTATATGATGAATTCTTATGATTTTTAAATGAGAGTGTTAAAAAGATAAAAATATATTTTAAATAAAATTTCTCAAACTTTTTTTTAAAAATAATTGAAAAATAGAACTCAAGTGTTTTATTTTCTTCTTTTTTATATAATTAAAATTTATTTAATTCTATAGGATTTTTATTTTATTTTATTAAATTTAATTTATTTATTTTAATTTATTTTCTTTTTAAATAATTTTTTATGATGCACACTCCAAATCCACTGAGTATGGTCAATAATTCAATAATGATGCATATAAAAAAAGAGATAATTATTTTTATTAAAACTTGACTATGTATCTACTCATATAACACAAACTATTTGTTATTAATATTTTTAATATTATAAAATCAATTTCTTTCAAATAAAATAATTAAAATAATATTTTAAAATAACCTTCTAATGATTCAAATACTGCTTTTTACACTAATATATATATATATATATATATATATATATATATATATATATATATATATAATCTCATTAGCATTAAATAAGAATGAAAAAATCATTTTTTAATTTTTATTTAAGTTTTTATATTAATTATTATTTTATTTTTTTCAATGCAATCTTATGAAAAAATATTGAGACATTTTTTAAAAAAATTTTAGATTAAATACTCTATTCAAATTATTGCAAGTTCTTATGAAAAAAATCATTACATAGAAAATAACAAAAAGTATTTTTTAACTACAAAATTTATGAAAAATACAAAGAAGAATAAATTAAAAGATTAGATGATTTTTTTTTTACTTTTAATTCATTGTATTTTAGCATATCTGTAATATAATATATACTATCAAATTAAAATTATCTTTTTAAATAATTTTAAATGCTCTGCTTGCGCGTATTCGAGCAGCCAACTAGTTACATAGTCAACATGCAAGTTAGGCGACATATCAACTGGCAGCCAAATTTAAGTAAAGGAGAATCAAAGATGAACATGAACTCCAAAATGACGGTTCTAGTTAATTTATTGCGATAACTATTCTATAAATATATAAATTTTTAATAGTTTTTCAATTAAGTATATCAATTTTAATGTTTTTGTTAAAGTATATTTGTTTCTTTCAAATTGTCAATCAAATATATTTTTTCAACTTTTGTCAATTTTTTTTTTATTTAATAACGTGCCATTTGATCTAAACTACTAAATTATAACTTTACCATTTCATTCTTAAATATTATTGTCATTTTTTTTTATTTTTTGAATATAAGGACAACTAGGATATTTACTATGCAAAAAAGAAGAAAAAAATAATTTGAGAGAGAAAGTTTTCTAAAAAAAAATAAAAGGCCAAAATCAACATTTAGTAACATGGAACAAGGGATATATCATAACGTTTTTTTAAATTGATGTACTAAAACAAAAGAAATTAAAGTACATACACTCAATTGAAAAAATGTTAAAAGCTGGTATACTTGCACTGCAATTATCTCTTAGTTCATGGCATTAATGATCGCACAATCAATCAACATTATCGATCCAGATTTCCAGTATACGCTCTCTGTCTCTCTTTGTCCATCCTTGATTTCCCAGTTTGTACGAATATGACTGCTCAACCTTGCATTTATATATCTGTCTTCAACTTTAATATCAAGACTTTCAGTCCCCTTTCACATGGTTCATGAATCTTTCCTCATTTTTTTTCTGCTACTACATTAAATCATAGCTTGTGATCAAACCAACATGTTACATAATTTTATACGAGTTCCATATACAAGACAATAGTGGGGTTTAAGATTTTTTTTTGTTTATTTTATTATATATTTTTCATGAAGCTTCTTGGGATTTTCCGTCTATGACTGCATTAGTAGATAAACTTTGTTTTGGCATGATATGATGAACTGATTGGCAGAAACCCTTTGGGTTGAACTTCTTGTTTTTGCTTTTCCTCGTCTTATAAAGCTGTTTTGAAACTCGTATAGTTCAATCCATTAGTGCTTTTGGATTTGCAGGAGAGTGTGTGAAAGTGAAGAAAATGATGGAAAGTTTTCTTGCTTCAGTTGAGGAAAATGTAAAATCTGAAGGAGAGGATGTGAAAGCTGCTATAGTACCCCTATTGAAACTTATAGCCCTTACTCTCTTTGGTTTAATTCTTGCTCACCCAAAAGTCCAACTTGTCCCCAAAGCTACTTTCAAGCTCCTTAGCAAACTTGTTTTTGGTTTGTTCTTGCCATGCTTAATATTCACTCAGCTTGGTCCATCCATCTCTCTCAAGAACATTGGTCACTGGTGGTTCATTCCTGTAAATGTAATCATCAGCACTACAATTGGTTGCATATTGGGATGCTTGGTGGCGTTTATATGCCGGCCGCCAAGAGAGTTTGTTCGGTTCACAATCATCATGACTGCATTTGGCAACACTGGCAATATTCCCCTTGCAGTAGTTGCATCAGTGTGTCACAGTTCTGATGCTCCTTTTGGTCCTGATTGTTATGGAAATGGAATCGCTTATGTATCTTTTTCTCAATGGGTTTCTGTTATTCTTGTTTACACTCTTGTTTACCACATGATGGAGCCCCCATTGGAGCAGTATGAGACTGTTGATGAAGGGGTAGAAATTGAGGAAGTGCCTGTTGATCTCAGCAAGCCACTCCTTGTAGAAGCTGAGTGGCCGGGAATAGAAGAGAAAGAAACTGAACATAGCAAGACGCCTTTCATTGCTAGGCTCTTCAACAGCATCTCTGGCATTTCACAAACAAATTTTCCTGATCTTGAAACAATAGAAGAGGGAGCAGCGGAGGGAGGTGAAAGTAGTGCCCAGTCCATTAGGTGCTTGGCAGAGCCTAGGGTGGTTAGAAAGATGAGAGTTGTTGCTAAACAAACACCAATTCATCACATTCTTCAGCCTCCAACAATTGCTTCTTTCTTAGCTATTGTTATCGGAGTGATTCCTGCTCTCAAACATACTGTTTATGGTGCTGATGCTCCTCTTGGGGTTATCACAGACAGTTTAGCTATGATGGCTGAGGCCACGGTGCCTTCTGTCATGCTTGTTCTTGGGGGAGTGCTCGGTGAGGGTCCAAATGAATCGAAACTTGGGATTCGGACCTCAATTGGCATTATTGTTGCAAGGCTTTTGGTGCTTCCAGTGATTGGAATTGGGGTCATCTATTTGGCTGGTAAATGGAATCTTCTAATCGACGGGGATCAATTGTACCGATTTGTGCTTTTGCTGCAGTATACAACTCCTAGCGCCATTTTGTTGGGAGCCATTGCAAGCTTAAGAGGTTATGCAATTAAAGAGGCTTCAGCACTTCTCTTCTGGCAGCATGTGTGTGCTGTGGTCTCTCTTTCGATATACATCATTGTCTACTTTAAGCTGCTGCTTTCGTACATCTAAGGTGTTTCTTTGACCTTCATGTTTAATGATTCCCAGATATGTTTATGCAATGAGAATGAGTTTCTGATTAAGATGAATTGTTTCTGTAATTGTTAAAAGATTGACATATGCTAATCAAATGAAATAAAACTGCATACGATAGAAATTGCAAATCAAATTGCATACTCTATTGGCATTGGCTTAATTGCTAAACGGAAATATGAAGTTTAGAACTATCAAATGACCAATAAAAAAATCGACAGGATTAGGATCGTAATCAATTTGCTTGATGCTTCTGAACAAATTGCCTGTTTGAAACAGAGAAGAACTATATAGGTATTTTGAGCTAGTGTTAAGCCCTGCCAGATGGTGTCATTGATTAACAGGTCCTGTATCTGCATTGCTTTTGTTTTACTTACTAGAGGATATATCATAACAGCCATAAGTCTGCAATGTTTTCCGTTGCTGAACTGCACTATTTCGTTGCTGATAAATCTTGATACACCCTTGTTCAGGTCATTCCAAACCTGTAGAGTTCCTTGCATAGCAGAGGATGAGCCACTGCAAAAAGTATCATTCTATTGATTCGCTTAGAAATTTCTTTGAGAAAGACCCTTCAAATTTTTAACACCATTTTGTTAATTAGGACAGAGGAAAAAAAAAAAAAACAACATTTTGAAACCAAACTACATAGAGTCCCAGAGAGAGATTAAAATGTTTAATATTAGATAGCAAAATGTTGTTGGTTGTCCTCTTTGTGCAAGGAATAACATATTCATGATTCCTTTCACATGTCTAAAGTCTAGAAACCATGCTCAGAGTTGACAGATGGCGGGTATCTCTGGTATTTTTCAGCAGACAGCAAAGATGCTTGCTAATAATTGACCCAAAAATCTCCTGATTGATTCTGAAATGATTTGGACTTTCAACTTTGTAATGTTATTTTAGTGCATATTATTTGGGATGCCTTACATGTGGCACGAGCATCTGAAGTTTTCAATATAAAAACAGACAGATTCTTGTATGAACCATCTTCTGAAAATTAAAGGAAAAACTAATAATTGAACATATGTGATTGAGTTTGAAAAACCCTTTTAAGGTTTTGGTACACCTAATGCTTCCTATATGTAAGCCAATAATTGTACTTGAATAAATCATGCATTCATCTTCATCTATTTTAGTTTCTTGACAACCTGAATAGAAGTTTTAACTCTGCAGATTTTTCATTTCCTAGCCGATGAAGGATTTTGAGAGAGGCTAAGTCATTGATATAATCGTCTGGAGATTCTGGACGTTGTAGGGATAAATTTCAGTCATAATTTGATCATACCAGATTTATCAATGGGATGATTCAATTGCTTTCTGCACTGTCTGCTATAATTAACCTCAGAGCATAAATTCTTGCATCACTGTTCTTGCTAAAGCAAATCATTGATAATTTGATGCTGGTCTAATTTTTCTTACCAGATTTATCAAAGGCTTCTTGCTGTATTTACCAGCATACATTGTTGTCAAAAACTTATGCTCCCACAATGAAAATGATTTTTCTTCCTGTTTCCTTCATTTGGTTTCTCTTTTACCCTGGAATTTCTTTGAAGTGAACTAATCTTTCATGAATATTTACAATTATTGTGATGAGAAGCCTTATTGGAAAAAAATGCATTAGGCTGTTGAAAATCATGTTAGCTTATAGTTGTTTTCATGGTAGTCAGATCCCATACGATAGTGATTGAAGTTTTAATAATATTATAATTACTTTACCCCTACTTCAGTCGCTTTAATGTAAAGCAACATCTCTGATGATCTAGGAATTGTCAAGTGTCAATTTATTTAAGCTTTTCGTCTTCCATAACAAGTATCAGCAACAGATGCTGCTCGTGTTTGCTATAGACCACAATATAGGCTCCAAGAAGGCCTTGTTGAAATTCCTTTAAAAAGGCCACCCCATAGCCCATAAAAAAGCCTTCTAATTCTGACGAAGGACTAGGCCCAGGCTTTATACTGGGCTATAGGACCAACAATCCATATGAAGCTATAATCTCACCTGAGATTAGGGTCCTTCGGCTCACTCGTGAGATATCAAGATCATCCCCATTTTTTCTTTTTTTCTTTTTTTAATCCTCATTTTGCTTTGGCGGTAATTTATGATTCGGAGGAATGGGAGAAAAAATAGAAGGAGCAATTGAAGACACGTGCAATAACAACGACAGAGAGGAAGGACCTACCTGAAAATGCTAGGGCATTTCAGCAGCCTCATTTGCTCAGTCGGTTGTTAGCATGGCACTAGGAAGATAGAATTCGTACTATAAAAACCAGCAGCTTAGCGAATGAGATTCAATGTGAGCAGGGTCACATGTCCAAAATAAGAATTTGGCCTCAAATATTAATGATGAACCATATATATATATATATAGAAAGCAAAGCATTAATGTCTTATAGATAGACCAATTTATAACATGATAATGTCTGAAACAGGTTCAAGTAGTGTTTGACTTGGGAATAGTTCTATTGCCAAACCCTTGTCTCAGATATTTTTTTTCCTGATCATGGATGGATCCTGAGGTGCTGGTAATGATCCTCACTATTGACTAGGTGATCACCAAATACTTATTTGGACACACACATATATACCCACAGATTCCTCCTCTAAGATAGGACTAGTAATACATATTTTTCAGTAAAATGGGCTAAACTTTTTTTATATATAATACAATATTTTTCAAAGTCAAATTTATTTGGAATTGAAGTTTTAAAAAAATTAATAGGGTAATTGTTCTATATATGGGGGGTATTTTTGGATTAATTTTTGCATTAATTAAGATTAAATTCATCATTTTTTGTAGTAGATCAGTACCGGATACGATTAACCTTTAGCCCATTTTAAAAATTAGACCTTTTGAATCTACTAACAACTTATGTTAGTACCACATGTAGGGATGGCAATGGGACGGGGTGGGGGCAAGGATAGTCATCCCCACCCCGCCTCAAAAAAGTTTGCCTCATTCCTGCCCCATGCTCCGTTCGGGATGAAATTTTGACTACTATTTTCGCCTCAAATAGGACAGGGCGAGACGGGATAGGGCAAATTGTCATTCTTAACCATATGTTACCATATAAAAAAAAAAAAATTGATGAATTTTCTGAAAATAAGAATCAAACTCTTTACTGGATGAGTTATAAATGTTTTTTTTTTTATCATTCTACCTACGAATTTCGATAATAACAATGTACATTGGTTTTTATTTTTTTATTTTTAATAGAAAAATCTCATTTGGCATGAATATTGCATAAAGTTAGCTTAGGTTTGTAGCGATTAATAGAGATTTGAATTGAGATCAAAGGTATGAGCCTAATAATCCTTTGCTTCAGGAAAGAAATGCCTCAACTATCCAAATCTCCAACAAAATATATTAAGTGATAATGATCTAAAATTCTTCCCGATTTCTTTTGATGAAAGAAAAGGTAGAGATCAGAGACACGTATCAACTCTTGTTAAATGTTACATCATCAAAGGTTAATATAAAGTGTAGTACCAAATAACCAAATCAGGATTTATCAGTTGAAATATCATTTTTAAATCTAGTAGTAGTTAGGAGACGAGAGCACCATAAAATTTCTCCATTGAACACTTACGTGCCTTTGCCTGCATTTCAAGCGTAAATGTCTGGGACATGAAAGTGAGATTTGGGGAATAAATCTGAATATTGACAAGACATGAAAGGGAGATTCTACTCTTATAATCCAATTAGGTGACAAAAGCAAGCATGCATGTTGATGCTTGCCGAAGTGAAAAATTGCCTTCGATCACTCATGCATGTGGCTTCTCAATACAATTCTCTTGTGGAGTTGAGACAAGATTCAATCAATCCCTTTCATAAACACTTCCATAATGGGACGAGATCCATGTGGTTCATTAAGTTTCTGCTCCATTTCATGTGGCTCTATATATTTATATTGGCCAGTGGCTACCGACACTTGTTTCGTGGTAACCCCTAGCTATATCATGGGTGAGATTGTGAGCGATTAGTGTGAAAACTAAGTGATGACATTTTGCATAAAAACATCGAAACCCACGATCATAAATTCAACAAATTTATATAGCTATCATTTCCACGTTTTCTATATACGACCCTACGAAGTTTGAGAAGTGTTCACCTAGAAACGAGTTGCTTAAAATTTTATTCTAAATTTGTAGTGTATTTTTGGAGATTCAAATTAAAGGCAATTAACTTTATACACCAAATTAAAAGAAGAATTTGATCCTAAAAGAACATCTCAAAACGTTTTATTTATTTATTTTTAATTGTTATTTTATTATTATTTGAGATTTTGACCCCAAACTTGAAGGAACTTGAAAGGTACTTTCACCTATTTTTCTTTCTTTGTTTTTTTTTTTTTTATAAATCCATCAAGGGTTTAGTATTTACACCTGATTGAGCAAAAAAGCTTTGAGTTCATCGACTGATCGAATAGCATCTTCAACATTTGATGATATATAAATAAATTAGTTTTTTCTTCTCAAGGATTTTTTAAAGAGTACTTTCACCTATTTTTCCATTTTTAATAAATCCATTATCAGGGGAATTAGGAATATGGTTTTTTTTTTTTTTTACCTCTCAAACCAAATTGGGATTCAGAGTATGTATTTTCTTAAAAAAAAAAAAAATGAGAGAGGGAGCTGCATGTGAATTAGAAAACTAATTAATAGATTATGGTGTGCCATCACTTTTGACAATTGTTATTCCTTGTCCAACGACAAAGATACAATCTATGCATAATGAGATAAATTGTTTTGATCAGTTTAAAGTTGATTTTCAGAAGTATGGAAAACAAAAGTTATATATATATATATATATATATCCCAAATCTAAAAATTTAGACTAATTATTTATTATTTTATTAAACACACAAGACTACAATGCAACAATTACTAAAAAAAAATTTATATATACAAAATTTCTTATTTAAACTATTAAATTATTTTCCACTCAAGCCAATCATATTGGATACAAAAGTGATAAACATTAATTTAGCAGATTCAGGCATGAGTTGCGGGTTCCAGAGCTGTAATCATGGAAAAGTATAATTTATACTAAAATTCAAATGGCGTTTAATTAAAGTCATAGCTAGCATGAAGAAACATCATGATAAAAGTTTTTTTTTTTCCTATGTGAAAACTTCAAATATTCTGTATAGTTAATGTTGGGGGAATAGGCATGCATAAAATATTATATAGCTGCTTGCATTTTATATATAATTCCCTCGCTTAGAACACAATATTATATGGTAAGCGAATTGGTTATATACGAATTTTTTACTAATATATAAAATTTTAAATTTTAAAAATCATATTTTTTATAAGATATTAAATTATATTTTTTTTGTTTCGAAAAGAATTAATCATATTTTTAATTAAAAAGAAGAGGATATATATATGTGTGTGTGTGTGTGTGGTTGTTTTAAAATCTAATTCTATTTGGATGAATCTTTCCTTTAGCCTGTGGAATGTGCATGGTTGGAGATGTATGTTCCTTTTGATATATCTGTGGTAGAGGGAAAAAAAAAAAAAAAAAGTTAAACGAGCTAGCCTTGTTATATGGATCCACCAATTAACAGATGCATTGAGAAATCCTTGCAACAAGTCTTTAGGAAACGTTGCAAAATGCCTTGAAAATCGTTATGAGTTCAATCAAATATTATTAAAACCATATTATCATATGGTTAAAATCCCGATTGATATAAAAGCCGGTCCAATATATATATATATATATATATATATATAGCTGGTCCGATATATATATGTTTTTTTCGAGGAGAAATATTGCAATTCAAACAATATATATAGCTGGTCCAATATATATATGTATTACCTCTTGAACAGCGAATTCCTCTTCTTTGATTAATGGGAAGGCATCGAACAACCGACTATAGAATTGAAACCCTATCTTGCAATCCAGCGGCCCAAAACAGATCATGGACCTACGATACAATCTTTTATAAAATAACTAGTGCTTAGATCCCCTAGATTTAGTTTCAATACTGTCCCAGCATTGATGAGCCTCAAAACATGGCCCCCACAATCCCCACTCAACCATCATCGTAGCCTCAACAATCTCCCATCAAATAGGGTCCCACACAATGACAACTCTACGATAAATTACATAATATCGCAATTTTATCACGATAAATTGATAGGTACCCAATTTCTCATAGTATCATGGCCTTGAGCCTTGAGGTCATGGCCTCATGGGAATTTGCATTAGAATCTCTCTCGCTCTCACCTTTCCCTCTCCACTCCTCCACTTTATATAAATATATATATATATATATATATATAGAGAGAGAGAGAGAGAGAGAGAGAGAGAGAGTATATAATGTTGGTTTTGAGAATGGGTTATTGATAATACTATTTATACTGACATCAATAGCACTCAATCTCTTGCTTCATTTCAAGAAACACAAACAAACCAAGGAAAGGGAAAGAAAGGAAGTGAGAAAAAGATTGTTGCTTTCTTCTCTTCAAGAAAATCCCATTTCCATTCTTGTAAGCCTCTTTCTCTTTCTTTAATGTTACATTTATACGCTTCACATGTTGTCAATCATTTTTTGTGCCTTTCTGAAGTTGTTTTCGTGGTCAAAGGTGATAGCTTTTTTAACCTCTCAAAGAAGTTTTTTCTTTTTCTTTTTTTTTTCCTCCTTAATCATTTGAGCATTGCCTGTTATTTTTAATCATTTTAGTCATTTGTGGTTTCTGGGTTCTCTCTTTTTTAACCCGGGTTTCTGTTGCTTTCAGTTTTAATCTGCATTACTGTATTTTTGTTTTTATTGATCTTTTCGACTTTCGTGGTTTGGTTTTCTGGGATTTCTGCGTTGAAGGCCAATCTATCATGTCTTTCCAATTTGTAAACAAAGGTGCCTCTATTTACAATCTGTTTACCTCTTTAAAATGTATCATATCTCTCTCTTTTCTTTTTCTTTTTTTTGTTTTTGTTTTCTTCTTTGTTTTATGCTAAAAAAACAAGGGAAATGCAAAGTAAATAAGTATTGTGAATGCAGCTTTTAGTAGAGCTAGTAAGGATGTTTGATTTTTTACCTGTGGTCACTTTGTTCGGTTAAATGTACTGTCAAGCATGTTGCAATTTGAACTGGTAGGGCTTTGTTATTGCTGAAGTTCTTTGACTCTTGGTCAGGGAAAGGGAATTCTACACAGGGTTGCCTTGGTCTAATTCTTTCTCTGTTCTTTTTTGTTCTTTTGTTCAATCTGAAGGATGGGGGATCATTTTGTGTTCCTGGTGGATCGGTTGCTAACTGAATCCACCCTTGAAGCTGCTATTGAGAGTCAAAACCGATTGTGGCAAGCCATGCCTTCAGCAAGTACAGATAATACAACTGAATTTTCACCGCATTGGATGGATTTAGAATTGAGCTCATCAACTGGTAAATCAGTAGAGTGTAAGATTTGCCATGACGAGGATGATGACACGAACATGGAGATGCCATGTTCTTGCCGTGGCAGTTTGAAGGTCAGTTTTAGCGAAATTTGTGGTACCATTTATTTAAAAATCTCAGTATAGGCTGTTAACAAACAAAATCATTGTCTTCTTTCTTATAGACCTTTTGTTTACAATCCTGATAAATCAAGGAAATACCAACTACCGCCATGAAAGTTGAATGTTTACTAGGCAAATAATTTGAACATTTTTGGTTAACAAATAAAGCAGGCAGTATCTCTCTCAAATTCATGCACCTCATGATTCTTTGTAAAATTTTAGTCCTACATTTACCTCAGGGATTTTGATCTCTACATGATGCCAAAATTTTAATCCTAGACTTATCGTAATGCTTCTGATGCTTTCAATTTAAGTCTTATAGTCAATTGATTGTTGAATAACTGAAGCTGAAAGTGCATTGTATTGGAAACTAAGATGTCCTGCAACAAAATTTTAGCATGATTATGCTGTATGTTATTGAATTTAGATGAGCAATCGGTTGTTGAATAACTAAACCTCGAGTAAAGTGCATTGCAGCGTTGCAAATTAAGATGCCATGCAACAAAAATTTAGCATGAGTAAGCTCTATCTTAGTAAGATGCCATGCCACTTGATCATTAAATTGTGCTAGTCCCTGAGAATGAAGTATAGTTGCATGAAGCGAACTTCGGTGGTACAGTTACCTGTATCATTTATTACATTAATTTCAAGTAGATGTTGGAGGAAAACGATACTAGCTGAATTCCTCATTCTGCCCTCTTTTGTGGCATTAAATTCCGCTGATGCTTCAAACAAGGTTATAAGTTTTTCTTGTTTTCTTGTTTTGCAGTATGCTCATCGGAAATGTGTTCAGAGGTGGTGCAATGAGAAGGGTGACACTATCTGTGAGATCTGCCATCAGGTGCGCTATTATATTATTTTCCTGATCTCTGCATTTCGTGCTGTGTTCCAACAAGTTTGAAGGAAAAAAACATAAGCTTTCTAATTATTTTTTTCACTATTTGCAAAATTGCAGCAATTTGAGCCTGGTTACACAGCACCACCCCCTTTGTTTCGTTGTGGTGCTATTCCAATGAACTTCAGGTATGTTTGTACTTTCCTATATGTGTTCTCCAGTCTTGGTTTTCAAATTTCTTAAAATTTTTATCTTCAGAGGAAATTGGGAGATACCCAGAAGAGACCTACGCGATCCTCCATTTATAGCTATGGTTACTACTGACCGTGAATTTTTGGACTCTGACTTTGACGAGTATTCACCGCCCTCTCCTAGGAGCTTGATGTGCTGCCGCATAATTGCTATTATGGTATGACTCTCTCTCTTCCTCCCTGCCTACTGTGTCGTGTGCATTTGTTGCTTCCTATATAGAGCTTAATCTGACAAATTAATAAATTATTTACATATCCTCTGGTTCAGTTAGTGTCAATAAAACAAGTCCCCCAAATCTAAGAGACATGGCAATTTTTTTTTCCTGTCTTTACATTTAAAAACATGATGAGGAATTAATCTAATCCCCTATTACGTATGACCATTATAACAAATGGTTTTAGCAGCAGTTATTTTCCTCTTTTTGTGTGAGCTCCAGGCAATGGATGTAACCGAGTCCTTCTCTTAGCTTTATGTAGAGAGACCTTTCATATATCTGACTAAACTTGGAGAAATTATTGGGTAGGCTTGGTCTACTACCTCATCCATAGACAAGTTAAATCAATGAAAGCCACATAGACAATCATATGGAATTCATGTATCATCACGTTGGGACCACTGTTGTCTACATGGCTTATGTTTATTGGCCTATTTTATGGGATGATGTGGTAAACTTAGTCTACCTAATTATTTCTCAAACTCTAGGGCCAAAGCCTTGTTCTCTAAGCTAGCACATATGAGAATAACCTTGAGTATTATGTCCTATTGCTGATTTCTTTGCCAGATAGAGTAAAAGATTCGTCAATCAATCAATCATGGACTCATGTTCGTTAAAATATTTGGTTGTACATCAGCAAAAACAATGATCAACAATTTTGCCCCATGGGCACTTGTATTCATACAAAGCATCTTTCCTGTTCATCATCATTGTTCAATGTGTTTGTGACCTTATGTTTGTTTGGTCTATAAGATTCTATTGTTCTTACCACAAGGACATTTATTTTTGTGTTAATCTGCAGTTTTTGGTTCTTTTGGTTTTACGCCATACTCTTCCTATCATAATTAGTGGAGCTGGGGATTACTCGATGACATTCTTCATGGTAAGGCTGGGCTCCCTTGCCTGCTCTTCTTATAAAAGAATTACTACTTGGTTTAACTACAGGTGCAGGAAAAAAACTGAACTATGGTTTATATGCAGTTATTGATATTGAGAACAGGTGGGATTCTTCTGCCTATTTATGTCATGGTCAGAGCATTTACTGCTATCCAACGTCGGCGACGCCAGCAGGTCAGTGAAGATTAAGGCATTTTGTTGACTTTGCCTGAGCCGTGGGTTCAGGTGGCAGAAGCATCGAAGTTTAGGATCTACTTAAGCAATGAGTTCAGGAAGTACTTTTTCATTAGGCTCGGAAGATCTTAAATCTTTTTATGATCAGCTGGTGATGGCTGCTTGCTTCTAGTCACTAATTCCATCCATCTAAATGATGCTATCAAGAAAATTGCGAAGTGCCTCATGCCATCACGCATGTATAGCTTACCTAGTTCCTTGAGCTATGTGAATCATGAACTTGATTCCAGAACGTGCAAAACATAGCATTCCAGTTTTGTCCCACAGGTAATTTTTAAAGATAGAAACTAATTGTCACATTCTTTCTACGCTCCAGGATCCTCCTTTTCCCCTTGATGAATCAGATGAAGAAAACGAGCTGCCCCAACTGCAGACTCACTCGCGCATTATTCATGTTCGGTGATCCTTGCAATCACCTCATACATAAAAGAATGACAAATGTACTGAGGAGCGTAGTTTCTAAATTTCTGTGAAGTGTTGAAGTTGTAGCATCACAATGGAGACAATCGATTGCTTTGCATTCTTGTGTCGTATCACCTCAAATCCACAGGCATTCGACACTCCAATCAAAATGAATAAGGTCCCGAATTAAGAAAACTATGTACAGCTAGAATGATATATAACCACTATTTAGATGTTACTTACCAGAAACGGAAGAAATGAGAGTTCAAAAGGATGTCCATTATCTAAAACGTAAATGAAAATATCATCAATTAACAGTTAATGCTTAACAAATACCATGCAATAGGTCAGGCTTCCCAGTTCTATTAGCAGAGTTGTTAAATTTATCTAATGAATGAATGGACGTGATTGCATTGAAAACAAACAAACAGCATTAGAGACGAAATAAAGAGAAACAAAGATTGGATAACTAGCAAAAGAAACCCATAAAGGCAAGACAAAGTTCACCACTGACACCACATGAATGTACCAAACTGGCAGTAAAGACTATGACACACTGCAAGATAAATCACAACACTCCATAGCTTACTAGGTTCAAGTAAACTCAAGACCAAAGACACCAAACTAAAAAAAAAAAAGAAGACTGACATTTATTCTTAATAGCGCAAACATCAAGACAGACTCGGGGACTCCGAAGTTTCAAATAAACAAGAGAGAATCACGTTATTCTTCCTCGGACTCAGATTCAGCACTCTGGAGCCATTCAATGAAGGGCTTAGCATTCTTCCAAATCTGAGAATCCTTGTTACCTCCCTTTAGCCCTTCTTGATACCACTGCACAATGTACTCTTCATCCAGGACGTCAGCATCATAAAGTGCTTTCAGGATGAGAGCCACTTCCTTGAGCGCACTTGAGCTTGACTTCCCACAGAATGCCCCAATTCCTCGGAGCAGAAGCAACTGTGATTTCTCATCCTGAGCAACAGCAGCAGCCAAATAATTCTTCTTCTTGGCAACCTCTTTCCCGAATCCTTTTGCAACACCATCAAGCAATGCCTCAAACAGAGCGTCCATCTTTTCCTGAGCAGATCCAGTGAGTGAACTGAGACTGGACTTCAAATGGCTCGCAGGAACTCCTTTCTTCAGGATTACCTTCAACTCATTAACAAGAGTTTCATGAGTACTGGGGCTCCCATTCTCAGCTTTAGGTTTTTCCTCCCGGGCTGGTGCAGCACCTTTTGGACTAACATTTTCTTTGCTGGATGCCTTTGCCTTCTTTTCTGTCTCCTCTGTTGAAAGCATGACCATATCAGCTGTCACTGCACTCAACTGCTCTTGGATGCGTTGCCGAGCTGCCTCAAGAGACGTATCAGTTAGCCACTGAACATCATCCTCATCGTCATCAACCTCTTCCTTCTCATCAACCTGGCTATGAGTTGGTGAGATATGTTCCTCGTCAGAACTGTTTGCTTTCTTCTTTGTAGAGCTAGCTTTTGCAGGGCCGTCCTTCGAAGAAGAAGATCCCTTCTTCTTACCTTCTTTCTTCAGTTTCTTCAGCTCCTCATCAGCAGCTGCACCCTCCTTAAGACGCTCCTTCTCAGCCCTCCTCAATGCCTTCTTGTCCTTCAATCCCTTCTTTGATTCTGGAGGGTTCTTGAGAATGAAAGTTGTGAGCTTGTCCCTCATATCAACATCGGATACAAAACCACAGGCAGCACATTTTAGTTGGAGCATCTGGCTTTTGGTGATGATTATCTCAGTCTCAGGATTTCCACAGCCATAACACTGAACATATTTCTTGATGAAGTTCTCCAGAAGCCCAGCAAGTTTTGCAGTTTCATGAGAACCATTGACTAGTGAAGTCCCAGTTTTCTCATCAAACTTGGATTGGGCACCGAGCTCACAACCAAAATACTTTGTAGTGTAAGAAGCTGGCCTTGCCAAAGCCTTTGCAATGTCAACCATGTTGACAATATTTGTCTTGATGCCATTTCCTCGGCCCTCAACTTTGGTAACCATCTTGGGCATTTTATACCTATAGAAGGCATCATCACTGTTTGAAGCACCAATATTCTGCAATGCCATCTTGATCACTGTAAAGCAGACTCACAAAGCAAACTTAGCAGATGTCACTGAAAGCAAATGCTCGAATGCAAAGAGTAGTCAGCAATGATGTTGTCTTCTAGAGATTCTTGAACAAGAAAAGACTGTTCTTCTGTAATCAGGAAAGGTTGCACCCAACTGCAACCACTAAACTCAGGGTGTCCTTTAAATGGTCCGAGATGCATACAGACAACTTCTTTATCTGACAAGGGTCTGCCCTTTTTCTTTATCGAAGGAGTATACTCTCCAAGCAATCCAATCTCTCCCAAAAACGAAATGGCCTGTATGGACATAAAAGAAACCTCAACTTTGACGCACTTCACCCTGAAAATCTGCAGACAGCACCACCACCACCTGAATAACAAGAGAATTTCAGCCAAGAAAAACACAGGAAAAAGCTTGATTTACAAAGCCAAGAGCAATTAAGCAAAAAGTACAATTACAACAACAACCATGCCTCAAACCCAAACTAGCTGGGATCAGATATATGCATCCTTTTGCTCCAAAATTACACACGAGCAAAAAATAGCAAAAAAAATCTAGCATCAGGCATCATTACATTAGTAATCGACCTAGGACAAAGAACCCTAATACTAGTTCAATTAAATAGACCTTACTACTCCATTTTAAATATGATCAAGAAACTTAAAACAATATATCCTTACTGTTTCCAATTACAAATAACCCATCATCTAACACATCAATATTCAAACAAATGGCTCACAATGCTTCACCAAAAATTCATACTCAATCGAAACAATAAACAGTTACCCATGATTTTCTTTTCCCCAACATTAATAACAAACTTAACAGCAAAATTTTAGCAAAAATTTCAAATCCTTGACAATAATGATCGATTTTCTTATTAATAATTCGCAAAAATAGATACTGAAATCTAAACAATAATCAGTTATAAACAGTCAATTATGTATTTCCCAAACATTAATAAACAACCTCACAAAAAAAAAAAAAAATCATTGATTTTTTTTTTTAGCTGCGATTCTATTAGATCTAACATAAAAAAGAAATACCATAATCGCAGATTAAAACAGGAAAAAAAATCAACAACAACCATTCAATCCCAAAAAAACAAAAACAAATAAATAAATAAGAAAACAACAAATTTTAAACAGATTTAAGAATTGAGCAAACACTAGCTGCTTACCTTGAATCTAGAGAGAGAGAACAAATTGGCTTCTGCAAAGAGCAAGATAGATAAAGAGGCGCCTCGTGTGTTAGGTTTGCAAATTGTGTTTCTGCTTATATACAGACTTGTATGTGCGAGACGGTTGTTTTTATTTTTTATTTTTTTTTCTAGACTGTTCTATTTATTTACCGATTCACGACAATTTTTCTTTTTTCTTAATTAGTTAGAATTTTTTTTTTTTATTTTGAAATACCGTTTCTTTTTTTTTTTTCATTTTCGTTTTTTATACTCTTATGGATTTTTTCTCATTAAGTTTGATTTTGTTTTTTAATTTAATGTTAACCACTTAGCCTTATTGATATTTTTTCTTTTCTCCCTTCTTTGAAATCATATGGGATAGAATTACAATCATTACAAGAAGGAAAAAAAAAAATCATAGAATGTCATCGTTGAATGATATTATATTACACAAAAACCAACAAGGGTAGATTGGTCCAACAGCCAATCCGATCACAAAATATGCTAAAATATACTAGTAAATTATAAATTATTCCTTCTAGTTTTCCATAAAATGAATGAATTAATTGTTTTAATTATTTAATTTTTTATCATTTTATATTTTTTAATTTGTTTGTTTTTAAAAATTAAAAAAATATTAATATTATGAAAAAGTTGATAAAAAATAATATTAAATTAAATATAATTAATATTGACTGAATGACTAAATTATTAGTTTTTCATAAAATTGATATTTTTTTTAATTTTATTTTTTTATGGAAGCAACGCATGTTTGAAGCTGAGTGCAGGAATATCCTTTTATCCTGGCCCCCAATCTGTATCGGAGAGAGATACTTTTCTTCTCTGACGTAGTCTCGTATAGCCTTATAACTTCCCTCTTTCATGTGCTTCTGACATAGCCTCTCTCAGGGTAGGAAATTAACAAAAAAAACTGGGGAAATGAACAGTGAATAAATAGTGATTTTCACTGTTTATTCCTCACAGATTACTCTGGATGAAAGTGTCAGTAGTGTAATTTTATTTATTTGTTTTTTTTTTTGTTTTTAAACATTCATTTGCACTTTTTTGCATTCTGTTTTGTTCTGGTGTTTGATATTTTTAAAAGAAAATTTTGATCATTTGGACGCTTCTTCACACATAACATCAATCCTACCCAATTATCTTTTTAATATTTTAAAATTAAACTCTTTCAAATAAATAAATTAAAATAATATTTTAGAAGAATCACTTAATAATTCAAATACAATTTATACTAATATTATTTATTATTTTATGAATAAATATATATAAATCAAATGTACATATTTTTAAAAAGTTAATCTTATTATTTGTATTCAATAAGAATAAAAAATATTAATTTTTTATTTTTATACAAGTTTTTATACTAATTATTTTTTATTTTTCCTATGCAATGATATGAAAAAAAATATTAATATATTTTTAAAAATTTTATATTTAGGTTATTATTAGTTTTATTTAAGAAAAAAATGTATAAAAAATAACAAATTGTGTTTTTTTAACTATAAAATTTATTAAAAACATACAAAAAAATTAAATACAAAATTTTTATTAAAAATATAAAATTTTATGAAATTTTATTTTTTATTTTTAATTTACTATATTTTAGTTGATCCACGAGTACAATACATACTATCAAATTAAAATAAATATATTATGTTCGGTTCGCAACGTAGTGCGGAAGCCGACTAGTAAGGCTCTATGGCCCCATCGATACCGACCTACTCGCTCAATAGCAACTAAAATGGAGTTAAGAGACTAAGGGTGTGTTTAATAACCTATTTAAGTAATTTAAAAAATTAAGTTGTGATACTTAATATATGTTTGATAATCTAAATAATCTCATATTTAAAACTTAAATTCAATCAAAATCTACTTAATTAGATAAATTAAAGTTTTTAACTTAAATTTTTTTTTATTAATACGCTCGGTTGAAAGATTTTTAAAACTTTTTAAATATTACTATATAACCCTTATACATTCTTATAATTCTAATTATACAAATTGATTGAGAAACGATCTTTACTATCTCTATTGTCAAAACGAGAGGAGACTTTCTCCATTATCATATCTCTTCCTTTTTTTTTTTTTTTTTTTTGATGTCTAATCTAAAAGCTTTTTTCGTTTTTAATTGTAGGCAAGCAAACCAAAGGTAGGCAAAAGATCATAATAAAAAGGATAAAAAACGAAAATAACAGAGTTAATCACATTCTTAAAACATAGATCTAGGATCTACAAAAAGGCAAGTGAGTTGGTGACTCTATGCGGTGCTAAAGTTAGTATGTTAGTGTTCTCACTAGCCAGCAAGCCATTTTCCTATGGTCATCCATCTATAGAATCTATTGCAAATCGATTCCTTGGACAAAACCCATTACCAAATGATAACACCCACCCTTTTGTTGGATTTTTTTATTAATAATATTTTTATTAAATTTTTATTTATATATATACATAAACATATCTACTTTTTTTTTTTTTGTTAAAAAATATCATGATACAATTGCAATGTTAAAATTATCATATATATAGTCTTAATATGTTCGGCAACGAGTACTTATCAAACAACTTTATTATATTCAACACTTAATTTTTAATAAATATCAAAAAATTTGTCGATAAAATATTCAGTATTTAACTATTCAGCACTTAAAATTTAGTACTTTACAAATTCAGTACTTAAAATTTAAAACTTCATAAATTCAACACTTAATTTTCAGTTTTATCAAACACCATTTAATTATTAGCTCAACCAGCTCATGTATGTTTTCTACTTGTCCAAAAGTTTTTATTTTTTATTTTTTTGGAACTTCTTTCCTTATGGACCTAGTTGTTGGGTTTAAATAACAAGAAATCAAATTGAACTTTTACAATATTGGGTCTGTTTCAATAGTTTTTAAAACCAAAGAGAATATTTAATTCGTTTTTCAAAAAAAAAAAAAAAAAAAAAACCTTATAATTTACCCCACGCATCTGTAACATTTCTCTTGGGCCCAGAGGCCTAGAGCTTGAAATTTTAAATTGTCCATTTTGTCTTCTGGCTTTAACCACTGTCCTACAAAATTTGTCTGCATGAGATATGAGAAATGGGGAATAAGTTGACTGAGTTATTCCTTCACTAATCAAAACTAAGATTGAATTTCTAAGGAAAAAAAACCCCTCCTCTTTGTGACATTCGATCTACCAAATATATATTAGGAGATCGATGAAGGAAATTTTGAAATCTTGTGGTGAGCCAAGAAATTTGTGAGGTATATAATTTCATCAATCCACGAAGCAATGATCGATATTTCCTAAAATACGTACACGTATATAAAAGCAAACACAGGCATTTATACATGTACATTTCCAAATAATAATTATTATTAACTTTGGTATATATTATGATTAAAAGCTTACTTGTAAATCTTTACAACGCACAAAATCATGTTTGAGACAATTAAATGTCTCTTTCTATCTATCATAGATTGATAAATACGCAACCAATTTTTATTTCTCCATCATTTTCATTCATTCATCGATCTTATATATCTATAAAGAAGGTCATCACTTGCTCAATCTTTCACATATATATATTTCAATCACATTGGTCAATGGGTAACTTCTATGTTGTTTGAGTAAATTATAAATTAGTTGTTATCATTTTAAAAACTAATTATTTAATTTTTATCGTTAAGTTTTTACTATATATGTCAAATTAATACCTAATATCTAAAATATCTTTTAACACACACACACAAACACATACACATATATAGTGTCTAGATTTAAGGAGAGAAATAAAAATTTGTTTTTATGCTTG